CAAACCAAAACCAGTGCAAAAACCCCACCTGCAAGTGAAAAACAAATACAAGAAAAACTTCAGAAAGTAATTAACAGGACAGAACTTAACAAGGAAACGAACATTCCCGGCCATCTCAGCCCATTTTGGCTACCCAGACAGCAGCATACAGCAGGTCCGTGCGGGTGGAGCTGTGGTTGTCCGGACAGTCCCCCGATGTGGTGTGGGCAGGAAAGGGATGTAGACCCTGATGCCAGGTGGAATGGTGGGGGGTGTAGGGAGTTTTCCATGGACTGCAAAGGGAGGCGAGCCTGGGATGGCTGAACCTGTAGGGCCAGAGTCTGCTGCAGCTGTGTTTGCTGTCGGAGAAGCCCCATTACGTCCTGGTGCGTCTCCCTCCCCTTTCCCTGCTGGGATTCCTGGGTCCTTCTCCTCTCGGCTCTTTCCTTCTCCAGGCTGTCTGCAGCGCTCACCCTCTGGGCCCCGTGCTCACCGCCTGATGCCTGCATTATCTCCGGGAACGTGTCCTCTCACGTGCTGGTCTGCCTCCCCCTCATCATGGGCAGGTGCTCCGCAGGCGTGGAGGGGACCCCTCAAGGCGGCCATGGGAGGCATCACTTGTATTTGGCGTAACAGTGGAAAGGGAAAGGGAAGGTTCAGAACTCCCTGCTCTTGCTCCCCCAAAGTTTTAAACAAGCCATGCTTATTGACACCCACTGCCCAGCAGTCCCAGGCCTGTTGGGGAGGGAGGGGGAGGATCAGGAGGGAATTGTTTGGCTGCATCAAACAATAGCATTTTGGCCCCTATTGACATGAGTGAGGGCACTGGCCCAGGACACCGGCACTATTTCCACAGGCGGTGCTGATCGTAGCTGATCTCTCTCGCCTACGGGTACCACCACAGAGAGCACAGCTGCTGCTGGCGTTCCGTAGCTGCCCGGGCCCATATGCCCCAGCCCGTGTACTGCAATGGTGCGTGCCAAACAGCGGGGAGAAGTGTCCTACCATGGAGGAGGAAGTAAGGCTGCCAGCCCTAGATCCCTGTGGGGGAAGATTACCGATTATGGCCACGAAAGTTTCATGATCTCTCAGGAGGCTTCAGGGGCCATCCCCGGGTGCATAAACTAACTGCTCCGCAGGCACCACCCCCAGCGTCACGGGGAATGAAAAGCAGCTAACAACGCTCCCTCTGTTGGTCGATACCTGTGTCCTGCTACGCTGGGGACGGGCACCATCTGCACGTTTAAAAGTGGCCATGGGAAATGCGTTCCCACGCTCTCCCGCGCTTCCTCTCCCTGCAGCGGAGTCTCAAACAGGTCCTGGCTTATGGCATAGCTGGACCCCCCGTTGCATGTCCTCCAGCCAGTTCCTGGCAGTGGCCTGTCTCAGCACCGCAGAGGTAGCCCCAGTGCTCTGGGGAGTCTCTGCATGCAGCTCATTATAAAAGGTCTGCAGGTGGGCACCAGCTTGACGGCTAGCCTCCCCGGCCTGGCCTCTCCGCTGCAGTTCCTTCGCTTCCACCCTGCGCTGCTGCTGGCCGCTGTCACCCCCTTCGCCTGCCCCCATGCGATCCTTTCGCAGCTGGCCACGGCTCTACGCCTGCTCCTAGCTGTGCCTGCACAGCCGCTTCTCCCCGCAGGCCCAGGAGAGCCAGTACCCTGGTGTGCTCCAGGCAGGACCGTGGCAAAAGCGGGAGAGCTGCTAGGTGTGCTCACCATGCTGGGTAATTGTGCAAAGGCAGTTCAGGAATACGTGGGGTTCCCGTCTGTTCTCCAGGACCCCGGGCAGTGGAGTTCACAATGGTCAGTCTGGGACGTTGGGGGCCAGCTGCTGGAGGGCTGATAGGGTCGACAGAGGTAACCCGGTATCTGCACTCGCACTGCGCCGACCTCAGTGCGCCGCGCAGGGCGGTGATGTTACTGCGGTGCCATAGCAGGGCGCTTCCAGCGGTGGGAGACACGTGCCCAGCTAGGCCAATGCAAGGCGGCTTTTGTCAACCGAACTCTGTAGCCTCATGCTGCCGCCCCGGAGACACAAATCACCAAGGAAAGGGGCGGGGAAGAGCCCTGCCAACTGCCTGTGAAATGGAAGCCTCAGAAAACGCCTGGGAGCCTCCCTTGCCCTCCGAGCATCTGGGGAAGGCAAATATTTGCACAGTGCAATGAGGCAGCGTGCTGGGGGCTGCCCCGAGAGTCCAGAGTGCTCATCCCCCCACCCCCGGCATTGCTCATAGCCTTGTCTCCATCACCCCCCTCCCCTCCCAGCTAGCTGATCCGCTCCCATGTGAATACGCACACAGCCTCGCACGCACACTGGAACTCACATGCTCTTTGCTGGCATCACGTGGGTCACTTGGCTTGTGGGTCCCACCCCTGCCCCCACCCTGGGGCTCGCTTGACTATTTAGCCCTTGGAGTAGAGACCAGCTACTTGGTGTTTGTGCAGCGCCGAGCACAGTGCGGCCTGAGCTTGGCTGAGCCAGGGGCAGTGCTGTGAGAAACAGGATTAATTACAAACCCCCCAGCCCGGGCTGCCCACGCTCTGGGGTTGCAGGTAACCCGTGTGTGGTGCCAAGCGCTCTGGCATTGCCCGTGGCCAGGCTGGCCCAGCTGAGCCCCTAGGAATCGCCATGGCGGGTCAGAGCAGGGGACCATCATCGCCCCTCCCCCTGCCGCTGACAATAGCCAGGGCCAGCTGCTCGGGGGTCGGGGGGTGCAGGAGGCTGATTATGGACCGTGCTGAACCTGACTCATGCTCGGGGCCGGCTCCAGGCACCAGCATTCCAAGTAGGTGCTTGGGGCGGCAAGCTGCACGGGGCGGCAGTCCGTGTGTTTTTGCCACCCCAAGCAGCGCGCCGAATTGCCGCCGCGGACGGCGTGGGCAGCCCATATGCCGTTAGGGCGGCGCGCGCGTTTCCATGGCGGCGGCAATGCGGCGGCAGCTTCTATGTTCTGCTCCCTGCAGCGGCAATTTGGCAGCTTCTGTCTTCCGGCTGAAGAGAAGCTGCCGCCGCATTGCCGCCGCCGCGGAAACACACGTGCCGCCCTAACGGCACATGGGCTGCCCCTGCCATCCTCGGCGGCAATTCGGCGCGCTGCTTGGGGCAGCAAAAACAGTAGAGCCGGCCCTGCTCATGCTCCTCACACTCCTCCCGTCTTCAGGGTCAGACACCGACTGAACCCGGGAGCCGCAGTGCTGCTGAGCCCACGGCCTAGCTCTCGTTGCGCTCGTGTGGTACAAACGCAGCGTGCGGCCGCCGTGTCCTTTGGCCCACCTTGGGCCTGCGTTGACTGTTTAGCCCTGTGCAGCGCTGGGCAGGGAGGAGCCTGGTCTCCGGTAGGACTCGAGGTGCTCCCCTCCTAGCTAATGCTAATGAACACTGCCCAGAGACTGGGGCTCAGGCCCGGGCGCCGGCAAGGCCTTGCTGGTCACTGTGGATAGCAGGTAATGCCGCCGGCGCTGCTGGGTCATGCTGACGCTCTCCGCTGAGCCCTGCCCCCTGCCTCAGGGGTAGCCGCGGCTGCTGCTGCCCTCCCCCACCCGCGCTGCCCAGTGCCATCAGAGACATGATGGTGCTCACGTCCCAGGGGCCTGCAGCTGCTGGCAGGCTTGGAGTGGCGAGAAGCCAGGGGCAGCGCTGAGCAGAGATGGGCAGGATGCCAAGCTGGGAGCAGGGTGAGGCCAGGACATAGAGCCGGGGCAGGAAGGAAGGGTGCTTGTGGCTATCAGCCAGGGGCTGGGTGGGGCGGGTGGTGGCTGAGGGGCAGCAGGGACAGGACTGGGGCAGGGGCAGAGTGGAACAGCGGGCTGGCCAGTACCTCCAGGGAGTGCACGGCTAGCTACAGGGAGGGCCCCAGCAGGAAGGTGGTGCAGCTCGGGGGAAGCTGCTGAGCGAGGAATCAGACGTAAGGGGCTCCCCGGTCAGACAGAGCCCAGCCCCGCCCTCCCATCCAGCTTCGCTCTCAGCCGCCTGTACAAACCTCCTGTGCGGCCAATTGTGCAGGGTGTTTTTTCCTTCCACCGCGCCGTTCCCGTAGACCTTCCCCGCAGTGCCAGGCAGGAGCCGCTCCAGTAATGGTGCCCGACTGTGCCAGCCAGTCAGTCGGTGCCGGTTCAGCTTTGCACACCCTCGGCTCTGACTGCGGGAGTCAGGGCACTGAAGAGACAACGGTGGTAAAGGGGGTCCGGTCTGCAGGCCCCCAGCTTTCTGAACTCTCTGCTGCGGGGGCAGGGCACTTGAAAGCTGAGCGATCAGTCTTGGTTTTTTTTAAACAAATTTATTAAAATGTTATAAAAATGTCAGATTAACACAAAGCTTCCCAGCCCCAGCTCGGGGGCTGCCGCGACGGGGGAGAGACCCCCCTCCTTCCCAGCCCCAGCTCGGGGGCTGCCGTGGTGGGGGAGAGAGGGAGAGACCCCCCTCCTTCCCAGTCCCAGCTCGGGGGCTGCCGCGGCGGGGGAGAGAGGGAGGGACCACCCCCTTCCTTCCCAGAGACAACGCGGGTGCTAC